TCTTCTCTATAGATACAAATATACCCCAATATGTTTAAAAACTGGTTATCTCTGTGTGGTGAGATAACTGACTGCTTTTCTTTTTTCCTTTATAGTGTTTTGGTACTGTCTGAATTTTTTCAATATATAATAAGCCTGTGTTACTTTTATAATCAAGGGGAAAAAAGCTGTTTTCATTTTGATAAAGTCACTATCTAAGCCCTAAGAACACTACATCTGTGGCTTTACTTTGAAAATGAAGAGTTAGAAATAAAACTAAAATAAAAGAACTTGTTAGCTTTTAATAGGAAAAAAAACCTACTAAAACAGGCAGTAGCCCCTCATTTGAGAGAAGTATTATTTGGATGACTTGTGAGGAGCGCAGCTTCTATATCAATGTTTTCCTAGCTCAAGGTTATGAATTTTCCTTGGGTAGATGACAGGGAGAAGGATAAACAGTCAGTAGAGGGTCTCAGAAGGGCCCAAGATGGGATCATAGACGGGACAGGTCCAAAAGACTCCGTGAAGTCATGAAAGATATCCACCACGCTCATTTCCAGCATGGGTCCTTCATCACCACCTTCCTTTTCTATCTTTCCTGCTTAGCTTCTTTCTTCTGATCTGAAGCAACCTGTCATTTTTCCTCCTCTTTATGAGGTAAACTAATTCCTTGTTTTAAAACAGAATAATGAGAAACAGAGTGTGGAGATGGTAAGTCTTTGTAGACTTTTTAAGTGAATTTTTTTTTTAATTTTTTAAAGCTTTTGGTGGGAGGAATTAGGTTTGTTTATTTACTTTTACTGGAGGTACTGGGGATTGAACCCAGGATCTCATGCATGCTAAGCATGCGCTCTACCACTGAGCTGTATACCCTTCCTCCGTTAAGTATTTTTTTGAGTTTGAGAATATTTTCAAAAATGCTCTCCTGAGAGTCAAAACACAGAACTCCACAAAGGCCTACAAATAGACATTTGCTGAAACAGATCTAAGCAGAAGCCAACCATTTGGTATAAGAAAGAGAAGGACACAAATGTATATGTATGCATGGAAAAAGGTCTGGAAGTGTATGCAACATAGTATTAATAGTGGTGTCCTCTGGACTACTGGGGGGAGTGTTAATTTCCCTTCCTATAAAGTTGTATTTTCCAACTGTTCTATAATTTACACATATTAATCACATAACAAAGAAATTAAATAAGTTAATTGAATATATGCCCAAAGAGATAAAGAGGGAAGGACTAACAACAGGGAGGGGAAAGTAGCTGCAGGGACGTGAGAATCGAAAGCAAGGAAGCCGTTGAATTAGTTCACATTGAGAGAAACGGTGCACAGTTCTAAATCAGAGTGCCCATCTCTGTCCTGCAGATCCAGGAGAGCCCCATGCTTTCTTCTGGTTAAGTATGGCCAACAGAGCCTAGCCAAGTCCCAAGCAGTTACAACACGTAAGTGTAACCATATAAAAGAAGAAATTAACAGCTTTATCCTGGGAGTGAGGTGGAGGAGTAACCTCGGGAATGCTGATATTCCCAGAGCTGCTTCTCTCCACCTTTGTGTTTGCATCACAAGCTCCAAGAGCCACTTAAAAGCAGGCTGTCCATTTTCAAGAAGTAAATCTCTTGGACGAATACCTTCTGTTCACGAGCTGGAGAGGGAAGGTGCCGGGCTGCATGCTGGAACTCCCAGCCAGCGAAGACAGCTATCTCTTCTGGCACAGGTTCTCAGGGATGAGACCATGTCTAGTGGGGATTTTCTCCAGATTCGACAGCCTTGGCCCTACCAAAACACGCAGCTTTGTTTTCACCGTACATCACTCATCCTGAGCCTTTCGTTTTCCTTGCAAGCATCCTCAGGTCAAATACTACGTGTTCCCAACATTCTGAGCTTCTTGGACCAGCAAAGGGACATTCATTTTGCTCAGCACTCCTTTCACATTTCTATTGTGTTCGATTTCCCACTCCCCCTACCCAAGTCCCCAGAGAATAACTTCTTCCTTGTTTTAGTAACTTGGACCACAGTCAAGGTTGATGTGTTTCTCCATTTTGCAGGATATTTTCTTCAGAAGAGACAAAACAGAGGCTGACAGGGTTGCCGGGCTTGGGAGCCGCGTTAGGAAATCAGCAGGCATTAGAAACATACAGAAAATGTTTCTAAAGAAATACAAAGCAGACAACAACGCAGGGCGCCATACACAGAATTATTCCTAAAGGTGGACGAGCGCTTAGAAAGAGTCCCTGGCAATTTTTCCTCCCAGTGACCCACTTAGAAAATTTAATTTCATTTGTTGGTGGGTGAGGAAAAGGGTCAGAGTTAAGAAAGTGGTTTCATAAAGAACCTTCTCTTTGACTTAAAGTGAAATGCAATATTCCTCCATTCGAAGTCATAAAAGTAGCTCTGATCCCCGGGGGCACGCAGAGATGAGAAAATGAGTAAAGGGAGGAGGAGGAGGGAGGAGCAGATCAGTGGCAAGACTCCCTCCTCCCCACTGTATCATGTTTTCTTGCCCAAGCTCTCCCTAACATCCTCCCCCCTCCCAGAATAACCACACTGCTCCCCAACGTCTAAGGAAAGATGTGTCTGTGGACATGCTTAGGACACAAGGAAACAAACTTACCCTTTTTTAAAAAAATAAAATTTCCCAGGAAAGAAGACAAGAACAAGTATTTTGTGGCTGTTAGTCTGAGGTACATGATCTTTTAATAAAAACATAATAATGCCTCTCTTTGATGAGCAATTTAGAAACTATATTATTTTTCTCCAAAACATGACTCAAACCTCCAGTTTTACTGTTACAGATCTACCTTGTCACCATGATTTTTCTTTCCATTCATTTCAAGTGGTGCCAAGATACTAGCTATAGGTTAGTGCAAAAATAGTTATTTCTCTATGTCTTCATGAAATCTTTCCTCCAATGTATTTTCCATGTTAACAGTGTTTTCATACCATGGCAAAGGAAAGTAAATTTGGTATCACAGAAAGGAAAGAGAACTACCCAGATTATATCCTCCCTGGGGAGAAAACCACTTTCTACTGGGATAACAGGTTCAACTGAATCCAGTTTTCAGCTATTTGTGGGCTTGGAGGAAAGAGCTAAGGAGATGCTTACTTTTAACGGCTAAAAGAGAGGCAAACTGTGGCTGACGATACATTAGTGAGTTGTAAAATCAATCCACACATCACAATCAGGATTTTTTTAATGGAATAAAGTAGAAAACATCAGTATGCACAGCATGTAGTAAGGGTAAGTATTGTTTTGTGGAAACTGTGTATGCGTGTGTGTATATTGGATCTCAGTGTAAAAAATACTTGAAGTTTAAGAAACTCTAAATCTAGGGCCCAGATCCTGGACTCAGACAGAAGTGGGCTCCAATGTGGCTCTGCCACTTACTCACTAACTGAACTTGGTTAGGTGGGTTGATCTCTCAAGCCTCCTCATCTGAAAGATGGGTGTGACCATACTATCCTAGGATTGTCCAGAGATCAAAGAGGAAACACATACAAAGCCCTTCACACAGAGCCCAATAATGTTAGCATCCAGCTTTAGATAAACGTTCAGTTCACAAATGGAAGCAAACGTTATTTGATTTGCAGTATGTGCTAAAAGGAGAAAAATCCAGTGTGAGACAAAATGTTAGTAAATCAGACAAGTGTTGTTTTTGTCCTCCTAAGAGTTACTCTTCTGCAAGACTAACTATTGGAGTCATTTGATGCTTTTTATACAGCTCTCTGAATAAAGTATTCAAGAAATCCATTTTGACTTCAGAAACCCGTTTCTACAATGTAAGCACCAGACCAACAAGAGCTCTTCTAGGTGTGTTTTTTTCTTATACAGGATTGAACAAAACAAATAATTCACACTTAGTGCTTCATCCTTAATAATATAGCTTCTGACCCCCTAGCAAGTGACTAATAGCATGTGTCTGAAGACCTTAACAGATATCAAAATTATCTCACCTATGTAAAGACCTAGATTCAAATACATGCCAAGGTTCCTTATCTGAAATGTTTGAAAAAGGCAAATAAACCAACTCTGTACTCCAGCATGAAGAAATTTAAAAAATTAAAATGCACTGCTCACTTCACAATCATGTTCTATCTATTCTTGGCACATAGTTTGGGGAGAGTTCCTGAATTGCGAGTAGAGAAGAGAGAATAAAATTGATGGGGCCCAGAAAGAAAGGGTGAGAAGCACAGAGAGTCAGGGGAAACACACAATGCTGAAATTGTCAACAGCCCCTTGGATGGAAGTGGGGAGAGAAAAAATTCAAATCAACAGTAGGCTTTTTACTCGTGGGTCTAGAGAAAGAAAGGAAGTGGAGATTTGGTTAAAATAGCAGAAAAGTTGGGAGCTGTGGGTGGAGAGAAGGATCTAATAGTGAGTCTTAGTAAATGAAAAACAATTCTGCTGATCACTGAAGGATGATCCAAAAAACAGGACCAAGCCAACAACAACAAAAAAAGAAGGATGAGATGAAGGAGGCTGGTTCTGCTGCTGAAGCAGAGAAAATAAAATCAAAAGAAACAGTTAACAGAAACACCCCAGAGTAGATGCTATAAGGCTGGGGAAACAGATGTTTAGGAATGAAAACAAAAAGTCTTTGCAGAAAGTCTCACTTGGGGTAAAAATTAAGTCTTCCCTGAGAGATTTTAAGGTAAATAGAGAAAAATCAAGTATGACAAAGATTTGACTGATCTAACAGGAATATGTGTAATGCCACAAATTTAGTATTTTTTGAAACATTCGCCAGGAAATGAGCACGGTTCCTACTGCATCATTTTTTAAATTGTTTTCCTGGAGCATGTTGATGAGAAATGTCACCACCTCCATTTTTACCCATGGTTTGTCTACAATAAACAAGAAGAGGCGGAGAGAGACAGAGAAAGAAATGGATAGATTCTTCCCATCCCTTTGCACCAACAGCTACCCTGATTACCCAGTGTCAGTCCTAACTCCTGCATCACCCCAGATACCAGTCAACAACGCCTACGTCATTTGCTCTGCCATCATCGCATTGTCCACTCACTTGCTCTGCCCTTCTGTCCATTTCATTGAGCTGGAGCTCCCAGCAGCAACTCTAGAAGAGAAGAAGAGGTGGGCAGTGGGAGCTGGAGCATGCATGGCTCTAGCAAGCCCCCCAGATCCCAGAATCCAATGAGAAGCCACCAAATACACAGAGACATGAAGCCAGCTGTCTAGGCAAGAGCACTAAACTGAGGCCTCCAACCCCCCAGGGCTGATGGTGGGGTGGAAGGCAATATGGGGGACTGGAATCAGATCAGGGCTTAGAATCTCGGCTCTATAATGTAGTATGGTGTGAACCTGGGAAGATACTTAGTTCTCTGAGCTTGACTTACTTATTTGGAAAACAGAATAACAGTTCCTAGGCATCATAATGCTGTCAGGAAGATTAGATGCGGTGATCTAGAAGAGCACCGGGTACACAACAGGTGCTTCGTGAGCGCCACAGTCAACTGCTCATCACCTCAGATTTGAAACTAGAAGTGAGTTCTTTTACTGTCTAAAGCAAGTTCTACCTGCTTTCTCTTCTCATTTCTAGGTGCGGAGAACTGACCCTACCTATATTTGATTGCTGTGTTCTCCCTATTCTGGTCGAGTATCAAATGTAGTAAAAGTCTGTTGGTGCAACCAGGAATGAGCACATCTGACTTTGGATACTCCAACTCATCTTCTCTCAAATAGGAGTTTGGATCCTGGACTTTGTAAACTCAAATTATTTCGTGATAAGATAAAGTAATGGTTAACAACTGTCATACCACTAGCGAAAAATAAACATTAAGTACGGTTGAATGGACACAACTTTAGAAAAACTCTAAAACATTCAATAAGGAAAGGCCAGATTAAGTTTTCCCAATATTCTCAACTCCCCTGTTCCAGACAAAAGCATCCCCTATTTATATTCCTGAAAATGTAATATGAACACAACTGACCAACTAGGGGAGGGATGAAAGCAACTTATTTCTACAGAGAGCCACACTTCTGCTTCTAAAACTACTCGCTTCACACATTATAAGGACATTTACAATGGTTCAAACAGGTGTAAGTTACCATTTAAGGGCAATGGAGTAGAGAAGACCTTACCCCTTTAACGTGGCTCCTAAGTTCATCTGATTCCAGGTCATGCATTCAAGCTGGGAGGTCATTTGGTATAAATTGTCGCTGTTAGAAAAACATCCAGAGTTAGAAATGCACAAGACAAAAAAATATATGCAATTGTTTCTTCAAAGAGCAACGGACTTTTAACTTTTCTTTACAGTGAAAGCTTCCACATTCTCCAGGATGACGAAATACACGAGTCTGAAATGATTTTCATTTCATCTCACCAATCTCTGCAGTTATTCACTTCACACACAGCAGAAAGGATGTGAGAGTAATTTGGAAGCCTTTTTAAAAAAAAAACAAAAAAATCTTAGTAGAGCAAACACTGAAGTTTCTAAAGAGGTATTAAACCTTTGAAGGGAAGAGGCTAAAGGGAGTGAAACTTTGAAAGGCAACACAGGCTGGATAGCTCAACATTAAAGTTAAAAGCCTGGAGCTGAAAGTAAAAAGACAGCAGATTAATTATTCGTGAAAAGGCCATTAAGTTGTTTTAATCAAAAGGATAAGTATCATGTGGATTATGAGGGCCTGAAAAGTCAAAGAGTGATGGATGATGGATGGTCTAATACTCAAGGATGTGACAAGCAAAAAAAAGAGCATGATAAACTTTAGACACAACTGAAGGAATCATTCTCTGTAAATTTTATAATCCTGGTATAAGTCAAAGGGAGTTTTTTTTTAAAGCCCCAACCCAGTTCTATATTCTATGAGGGAAAACAATGGCTGATCATTTACATTAAGACCACAAACGAGAAATATACTACCATATGAACCAACCAACTCTCCCTTGTTTTTCCTTTTTTTGCACTTACAACTCTAATAAATATCTTTATTACATGTTTTAAAACACTTCTCTAAGTGCATTATAGAAGAGCTATCACGTCTATTCTGTGAAACGACACACTTCTCAGTTTTCTGCATGTACAAGTCATGAACATCTTTATTACGTTTTTATTTTTATTAACCAACTTGTTTGTTTGTTTATTTATTTATTTACTATTTATCTCCTTCCTAGAAAACTAGCACATAAAGTCAATTATCAGATATCATCTAAATAACCAAGCACCATTAGGAGTAAATTCAGTCCTGAACTGAAATGGTTAATTATGAAATTTGAGACGCAAGAGATTAACGGTTTTGTTTGGAAATCCTTGGTCTAAACACATTACAGAAGAACATTTTCCCTCCACCTTCATGGCAGAAGGGAAAGAAGGTAAGAAGCTTTCAATACCTAATATGCTATACCAGATCGCCAATGTCTGCCTTGTCACGACATTCCTTTGGGCTGTTTCATCCATCGGGCAGAGGCCAACACCGAAGTTTAATTAAGAGAAGGTTTCGTCAGGCTAACCAGACTGAGAACTTGTTGGGGATGAGGGAAATTACAGCATTTACCCCTTGGAATAACTGAACACTGTGCTCTCTCTCAGCCTAGCTTGATAAATCATGGCGGAGTCCATCTGCCTCTCATATAATCACTCTGAAAATTATTTGGAACTCCTCAGTGGTGGGTACCTAGGATAAGGAGGAAATCAGATTCCAGGAGGGAATTTTACATATAAAATGTAAAGTGACTTCAAACTCAAAGTATGCGTAGTTTCATTAGTCAGTGCATATCTGGACCCCATCATTCATCCCCGTGTCTGACTGGCTATTATGCTACCACAATATCCTACATATCAATGAAAAAAGCGTGATTAGTTTCTCCTGCAGCTTCCTTGTTCGCAGCAGCGGCCGGTGCTGGTCTGTGCCACTACGTTTCGCAATTCCACGAATTCTTGCTGTAAGGCCAGTGTAATTAATTCCTGAAGGACCCCAATTTTTATTAGAAGTGCCAGCCTGCTGCATTTAACACGGGAGAGTTTCTTGAACTTTCTCTAGGCTGACAGTTCATTAATAAAGCGGCCTCCTCCACAATCTCTACTGGTTTTTGTTCTCCTGCGCCTTTTCATCAAGCAATCCATTTATTAATCTTGCCATTAATCTCAGCCAACAGGCATTGTATTCCCCAGGCAGGTCTCTATTTTTGTCACTGATTTTTAAAAAATTGTTCACCAACTAAAATCACTCAACCCCAGTTGACAATTTTCCGAGGTCCTATTGGGATGTGGGATCTTTCTGAAATTATTTCATCTTTGCATAAGACTAAGAGCATCATAATTTTCAAGAGGTCTGAGAAGCAAGATGAATGACACAAGTTTACACACATGAGTCAATGAGTCCCAAATATCTAACTTTATGATTCAGGAATTTTCTCACAGACTTAAATAGTCCAGTGGATTCCTATGGGTCTCTATAAAGAAGTTCCCCAAAGGGAAAATAATTTTAAGGACATTTTCTTGGCCCCCAGAAAGCAACCTCTCTCAAATACAGGGTCTGTGTCTTACACATGTGTCTTTCCAATGGGTGCCTGCTAAACATCTATACCACACTGCCCAGTGTGGTAGCCACTAGTCAGACATGGCTACTGAGCACTTGAAATTATGGCAAGTGTCACATGCTGAAATAACATTTGGGCTTTTAGGTTAAATAGAATTTTTAAAATATTAATTTCCTGTTTATTTTCTTCTTTTAGTGCGGCTATCAGCAAATTACATAGATGATGTGTATTATGTTTCTATTGGACAGTGCTACTCTGTAAGTTTTAGAACCTTGAGCAAATCAGCTCAGCTCTCTGCACCTCAGTTTTTTCATCTGTTAAATGGGAATATGAGTTTCAATCCGTCTAACTTTATAGGGATGTTGTGAAGCTCTAATAATGGCTCTTTCAAGACTCTACAGACAATATATTTTAATTTTTTCTAATCTGTCAAATTTTGCAGAGTACATTCACACATCCTCAATACGCTTCACAATAACTTTGTGAGGCAGGGTTAATAATGATCCCCGTTTATCTGAGGAGGACTGGGGCTCAGAGAGGTGCCTAGTGCTGACTTGCCTGATGCCTCCACCTCCACCTCAACCTGCCCCCTTAAAGGCTTCCTGGCATTATTTGGCCTCTGAGCCTTGTCCTCTCACTACCATTTAAATAATAGTAATATAACATCATCTTCATCATCATCATCATAATACAGACAGGAGTCTGGAGGTGAAAGAGAACATGCTCAAGGCAGCATCATGAATTACTCTGTCTCCAGAAATTTACAAGATGCCTAACAATGCCCCCTTCAGTTGATTAAGAATAATGGGCCGAGATCTTCTTGATTTTAGTGGTCCTGACAGCTCAGCTTGCAAAGCCTCAAAAGGAGAGAGAAGGTGGGATGGGCTGATGGGGAAAGACTTTCAGAAAATCCCCAAGCAAAAACAGACAAAAAAACCCCAAAAGACAAAAAAAAAACCCCCACAAACAAACAAACAGGTTTCCTGAGGCTGGCGATGGGATGGAAGCACAATTTTAAACATATCCTGCCTTCTGTTGGCTGGGGCTCCCTAGCAGCTCGGTCAGTCGGATTGGCTGGCACCATCCTTCAACTGGAAGTCAGTGACAGCAATGACAATAGCTACTGCCGGGAGGGGACAAAATGTGAACTCAAGCTAAAAATACTGGGCCCCAGCATGCTCAAGCTCTGATCTCTTTGGGCAGTTGGTCAACTCCCAGCTCTCATCATGAAAACCCACGGAAAGAGGCAGCACCAGTCATGGAATATATGGCCCCTGGCAAATAAAGCATCTAATTACTAAATAACCCCTGTAGGTGTCAACCACTTCATTCCCAGAGGAGATCAGATAAGCAGGTGGTTTGGCTCACAGCAACCACAGTGGTCACGTAGGCATTTCAGCTCCCCGTCTAACTCTGTCTGTTCGGAAGTGAACTCTGAAATTGCCGGCTGCCAAAACATATTCCAAAAGTCATGTGTCTTTCATATTTTTTTTAAAGTAGATCTTTAAACAAAACAAAACAAAAAAAAGGCACTGGTTTCCTACATAAGAAATGTTTGAAGTTGGAAGCAAGGGAGAGAGGAAAGAAACTTCTATAACTGGGATTAATGCAAGTTGGAGTAAAATAAAAGGAAGTCAGTCCTAGCAAAAAGGGGAACTTAAAAGGAAATCAGTAGTAGATCATATAGAGTTTGTTTTGGCCTGGACTGCAGTATTACGAAGTTCTCGACCTCTGCACAAAAAGAAAGGAAGAAAAAAGCTCTCAGCTATTATCTGGACCAGAACTCCCCAACTCTTCAAATGCATGTGTAACTCAAGTACATTTTCATCTTTAAGTATGTTTACTATGTTTAGCAGGACAAGGTAGAAAACTTCTTGTCACCACTGAAATAGAACTATTGAATCTGATTAAGATTGGAGTTACCCCTGCCAGATGGTTGCTGGCTGGCAAATAGCATGTTGGTGGAAGAAAAGTGTTTCCCCATGGGATGAAGAAAAAAAAATGCCAAATAAGAAAAAGGCAGATGTAACTGGCATCTGTGATCAGTTCAAGACATTTCCAGCATTTGCTGCAATAGCTCTGCCCTACACCAACAGAAAGGCCTCCGTGCGTTTACCTCTACCTGATAACCAAGGGTTGTGTGCAGAGGCTGCAGCCAAACTTCGCTGCCACCTTTTTCCTGCGTTCTTCCCTCCAAGGCGCCATGGAGGCTGCCTGTTCAGAAATTTCTGCCCAGCAGGCCATGGTGAATAATTATTTTACAGTCAATCTCTTGGTATTGTAATGTCTCTCAAGCTCACCAGTTAACCAAAGAAAAAACCCACTGGGGATTCAACTTCTATTAATAAACACTTGGTCAGCACAAAAGTTGCAGGAATATTTGAAACTAGATTTTTCCCCCTCCCTGGAGACAAGTCCAATTCAAGATTTTCTTTGGCTTTGGTAACACTGCCCACCACCTTGGAAACCACTTCAGACTTTATGCCTTCATCCTTACCTACATGGGAAATATCAGTAGTGTCTTAAGTGAAACTTGTACACCATGTAAAGTGTACCTAAATGCACATGCAAGAAAAGGCATTATTAATCATGATTTTATGTGTCTGGGTGAGAGCAGTCCTCTGATTTGTCTACATTGAAAGCCAACCTAAATGGTAGACTCTGCACTTTTCACTGACCAGATTCCCCAGAAGCTTCATGGTTGCAGAGGAAATTTCTCTCACAAGAAAGACAATCTACTGGTAACAGGCTCCACGGTCAATGTCACCACTGGCAAATCATCAACATTTGATTAAAATACTCAAGTCAGAGTTACTGCTTCCCAACTGGAGTAGTTTGACCTGCTACAGTGAGAGGTGGGGCATATGTATTATCATTTAAATTGGTAGCACAGTTGCTAAAAATGGACATGCAAACCTAATAAAAGAGCAAAAAGAAAAGGAAACTAGAACATCTAAAAAAAATAGTGCATATGGGAATATTTTTCAAACACGGTGCACAGAATTCCTTTTCAAAGTAGCTGTGAGAATTAACCCATGAAATGGGCACGGGCAGGGATTGGGGGCTCCAAGGTCAGCAAGCAGCATGGGGAGAGGAAACTTGTGGAAGAGGACTCAAGGGAAGTGAGCACGGAAGGCTCAGCTAGCTGCCTGTTCTAGGTCAAAATCAAGGGAAAACTGTTTAGTGACAGTGGACTTCACTACTCTGTCCCCTTAGGGGAGCACGGGGTCCAACCCTTCCTGGGACCGTCTCTGAGCACGCACCAACCAGAAAGCAGTTGCTTGCCTAGGTCTGGATGGATGGGGAGAAAGGTCTCTGCCCTCGTTTCTTCACCCCAGTAGTTCACGCCTACTGAGTGGTAAAGGCAAAGTTAGAGGAGTTTGGAGTTTGAAAGACAGCTGCTCTGTCAGTTAAGACCGGGAGAAAGCTTAAGTTGGCTCCTACAGTCCTCATTGGTGAAAATATTACGTCCAATCTACTGAGCGATTTCAATTGAAAATTACGGGTAAAACTATTGGATAATGGGGTTTCTTGCGCACATGTGGGGGATAAAGACGTCCCTCTAGTAAGACCTAGGGCAGATGCTACCTTTGGAAAGAAAATGGCACTTAACCATCAGGAGAGGCAGCAGGGTGCAGAGGCACGGAGGATGGGTTCTGGAGCCTCACTACCTGAATGTGAACACCCTCTCTGTCCCTGACTCTGTCACACTGGGCAAATTCACCTCCAAGTGCCTCAGTTTCCTCCTCCGTAAAATGGGGGTGATAGCCTGTTGCTTATCTTCAAGAGTTTCAGATTAAATGTACATTAAGTAAGTCAATACTTGTAAGGTGCTTAGAATGGTTTCTGGTGGTAGTAAGTTTAAATAAGCATTCACTCTTATTATTTATTAGCAAAAGCGCTGGCACAGACTGTATAAGGGGAGTATCCCAGGTGGAGGACACTGAGTGGCCTGGAACTCCTCAGCAATTCAGAGCATATATGAGCTTTGACGGCAGAGAGAAGGAAAATCAAATCCTGGTTCTGATTCTCACTTGCTGTGTGACTTGAGCAGGTTACTTGGAGTCTCTTGAACCTATCTCCTCTTCAGGAGAGGGGCTTACCTCTTTGAGTACCTACCTCATAGGTAATTAGAAGAATGAAATGAGTGAACTGAGTGAAGCATGCAGCACATAGTCATATGCAATAAATCCTACTTATTACATAATAGGGGCCCATGCATTCACCCAGCCATGATAACTGGGTTCTACAAAGGCCAAAATCTGGTTCCAGAATCCTTACTGGCCTTTAGACAAAACTCTACCCACATATAATATGCGGGAGGTAGAAAGGATGGAGAAAATCATCTCCTATCACTTTCCATGAGTTGATTGGGGGCATGTTCTATTTACTGCTCATCACATCTGTGTACAGCTGGAACTTTTCAGATCTGTTACCTGAGAGGGAGGAGAGAATAACTTTAAAGCTCTCTCCTAATGGGAAAGAGAATTTTGAGAATTTCCTCAAAGCAAATTCATACTACACACTGCTTACTTAATGTCAGTTCATGTACCATTATCTTTATGTCCTTTATGTCATGTGGGAAGGGAGACTAAGTCCAAGATGGGGGGAAAGAACCTTTGGGAGGGCAGGGGAAAGAAACTGGGCAGGCTGCCTTAGGGGGTTAAGTGCAACAAGGCAAACAAAATACAAGCAAGCTTTTCCCAGGAGGTCCCAATTTTAGAAAGAAAAAGTAATGGAGCCAGGGACCAGCAGAAGCACTGCTGAATATCTAAAATCCAAAAGGTTAGCCATTAAGTGATTAAAGTTTAGTCTATTTCCCATGTTTTTCAAACACACTGTTCACAAAAGCATTTACATACCCTTTAAAACTTTAAAAATACCCTTTAAAACTTTTTTTAGAAGTAGGGAAGAAGGAAATGACATAACAGTAGTACTGTTGATGCATAAACCCAATTTTAAAACATCCCCACACTGCAAGTGAAGTACCTGATTTTTGGAAAGTGATTAGAAATATTGTGAATTTAGGGTGGATGGAGCTTCAAAGACTCAGTAGGTACAGACTTCAAGGGAGCAAACTGTTTCCTACAGGGGTCACAAATCCTTTTTTAGGAGATGTTATTGCTTGGAAATTTTTCCGCAACAAGACAAAATGAAATTTTTATGACTTTCATATAAAAATGAGCAAAAAAGCTCCAATTATGCAGAAAGAAGGGATAAGCAAATATTTCTGAAAGATGAACCTGACAAAACTGCTTTGTACAGTGACCAGTTAGAAGCTGAATTAGAAAAAATGTGGAATTTTAATGTATAAGCTGCAATCTAAGTGACTTTTCCTACTTCCATAGCAACCACAAATTCAGCTCTAAGTCAAAATCTACCACAGAGACTCGCTTTGGAGAACTGCTATTAAACCAGCAGTTGTGATCATTTTATCTCCAACTCCTTTTCTTTCTAGCTTGCTCAGTCCCTCTGATGGGCCCCTTCTTAGGGATCCACAGGGTGGATCTAGGCTTGGAAGAGGAGGGAGTAGGAAAGGTGTGTAGCTATGTCAGGACTGAGCCAGACTCCAAAGCCTCCCAGACCTCAACCTCCAAGGAGGTATCCTAACCCATCTGAACAGTACCCACTCTGACATCAAGGTCTTCCTCTCTGCTTGAGGGGCGGCATCGACCAAGAGCCAAGGAGGAAGGACTGGGCCAAGGTCATCCCACTGGGAACCATTCCAGCTGCACCCCCAATATCTACCAGAATAAGAGAGATGCCACTCTGGTAATGGGCAGAAGCAGCTCTTCAAAAGGAGAGGCAATGATCCCGTCATGGCAGTTTTGCTTGGAGAGGGGGTTCACAACAGATATTTCGGATTCTACACCCATTCCAATGAGCTGACCCACCAAGGGGAGGTGCAGAGATGGTGAGCTTGGGACAGATTACAGGGCCTGTGGTGCCAAAGAACAGAACTGGGTTCTAGCTAGGAAGAGAGAAGAGGATCGGGGGGTATGCCCATTCTACCTCTATCTGGGCAAATTGCTTGCATTTGTTTTTGGCTCCCTCCCTCTAAAATTTAAAAAAAATATCTACGGGGAGGAAAATAAAGGTGATCTTGAATCCAAGATCAGACTAGATATGCCAAATTTCCCGATCAAAAGAAAAGGTTTCCAAAGTCTGTGTGCCACAGGCTACAGAAGTAGGACTGGACCCTGTCCTGCCCTGGGATAGGAGTATCAGACGAGTTCTAGGCTCAGTTTCATAAACACGCCAGGACAGTGGGATGAGCCTCTGAGGTCTGGGGAGCGAAGTCTCCTTCCCCTCCTCCACCTGTGGGACTGGATGTCCCCCAGGCGCGGCCATTCCTTCCACCCAATCTCCCAGGGCAGGCGCTTTTCCTTCCTTTATTACCTCACTACCTCCTTCCCTTGACGTCAGCCTCAGGTCCTCGAACCGAGGGGAGGGAGGATGGAGATGAGTTTGGGGGCAGTCGGTATCAGGATCCCCCAGCACCGGGTGGGGTAGGGGTGGAATATGAGGTAATGCGCGCCCAATCCCGGGCCTCAAAGGCTGCGAACGGCCACTTCCCTCCCCCCGCCCCACCTTCCCGCCCGGCTCCGGCCGGTGTAGTTACTAGGCAACCCTATCGGCGACGCGGGATGCCGGCCAAGTTCACCCAAAGTTGAAGAATAAATTTGGGGGAGAGATGGTGGAGGGTGGAGCAAGAGCCGAGCGAAGGCACGAGCGACAGGAAAAGAGCTTGGGAGGAAAAAGAAGCTGATCTTCCGCCTCCCAGGAGCAGGAAGAAGGGCGGGTGCGGGCTGGAGCTGTATCCTCTCAGTACCGCTGCCACCGTCTACAGTACCGCTCATAGTCCAGGGCAGCTGGGTGCTAAGAAAGATGTCCACAAAGCGCTGCCGCAGCCCAAGACTCTGGGGGACAGAGGTGTGGAGAAGGCGGTGGCCCGAGTGTACGCGCCTTCGACTTAGTCCCAGAGAAGGCTGGCGGGTGTGGCCAGGGCGCGAGGAAGGATTTGAGGAGTGAGAAGAATCGAATGGGAGTAGACCCCGTGTTTAATCTTTGATCCCGAGGAAGCTAAAGTCCTCCCAGCAAAGACCCCTCAAAAAAAAAATTCCTTAAAGCGCCTCTCTTCTTCAGCTCCAAAAAGTAATCGCCTTAATTTACATTCAAAATAAAAACACCAAGAGGCAAGGAAACCTACTTCTTTTAAGTAGGAGCCAAGAGATCGGTTTTAATTTGCATTAAGGAGCCGACTGGGCTAAAGGCGTCTTTGCCTAAGAAACCCTGCACGTCCGCACTCAGGGCTGCCCCGCGTCGGACGTTCCCGCGCCCGCCGGCTCGAGCGCCCCCTCCCGGGTAGCGGGGACCCAGACGTGGCGCCAAGGGCCTTCCTACCTGCTGTACGGCGTCCTGAGCAGCAGGGCCTGGCTGCCGGTGCAGCTGTCGGTGGGGGTGTGGCAGCCGTAGACCGGGGGCGGCACAGAGTACTGCTGCTCACCTGCAGAGAGCCGAGGAGAGCGGAGTGAGCGCGCGACAAGGGCTGAGGGCGCGAGGCCGCGGGTAGCGGCTTGGGGAGAGAGCATCCCGAGCCGGACTCCGAGGCTAAGGCTGAGGGCAATGGGCCTGGATGCGGGGGCCGTGCAGAGAGACTGCATCCGGATCGTACCGAGCCAAGCTGCTGCTCACTTCACATTCTTAGTATAGAACACTGAGAAGGCTCTCTGGACTTTTTATATAGCCTCGGTTGAGTGAAGCTGTCTCTAACATGCTTGAGGTGAGGGGAAACTTTTCTTTTGAGTGAGATTTAGCTAATTATTTCTAAAATTCATTTAGAGGTACCCTTCTCCCTTCCACAGTTTGCCTTGAGTTGGAAATATCTCGGGAGGGTGGGGTAGCGTGGAAGAAGGGAGAAGGACCCCACATCATTCCTGCCCGCTTACCCAGGGAGCCCTGCTGGCCCATGGGATCCTCGTGCTTGAAGGAGTGATTGGGGAACTGAGCCGCGTGGTGCGAAGGCGTGTGACCGTAGCTGGGAGTCCCATCGAAGGTGACAGTGCTGTATCCTGCGGGCGCGGACGAGAGAGAAACAAAAATCAGCAGAGGGACGGGGACTGCATGTCTGAACCAGAACCCGAACGAGGAGAGGCCAGCCCCGCATTCGGATCCCACTCCACTAGCCTTCAAGGCTTTCGACGGTTTGCCGAGCCCAATGTGACCTCGGTACAGGCTCAGTAAAACCCAGACCTCCCGCCGTTTCCCAATTTATTTACGCCCTTGTCTTTCATGGTGTCTGCTGCTTCTACACCGAACCTCCCGCAAGTATGAAGACCGCCAACCGCTCTGCGGAGAAAGTTGTCCTTCCCCCAAAACGAAACACCGCGCCTCTCGCGCAGGGGCAGCGCAAGCCACCGAAATGAATCTGCTTAGATGACCCCGCGCTGACTCGGAGCTGTAAATCAGAGAGGCCCGCGCACCAACTTTCATTAATTACTCAGAGCCAGTTTAACGGCGTGGGCTTTAAACGGGGAAAGTAATTACGGAGTAATGTTATCTGTCTGAGGCTGCGCGACCTGACACCACTGACACCCAAGGCTCTCGGGAAAGTTGGTGAAGGGAAAAAGAAAGGGCCTTTCCAGTTGGACCCGCGGGCCTTGACCCCCCTTGGACTCACCTCACGCCCAGCGGGTCCGACTCTGACCACTACTATGGGGGTTGACTTCCTCAAAGCCCCAGTCAGGGAAGCCTGTTTGCTTCATTGAGCCTGAGACCGTACCTCCCTTTTCCTCCATCAGGTTTGCACGGGCCCCCTGCCTCAGTTTCCCTGGCGAGAAACCGATGGCCATGTGGCCCGTGTTCTTCCCCAGCTCTCCCAAAGTGAGAAAAAAACGTGGAGTCTCAGTTGAAAAATGTAGTTTCCTAAAATTATTGTCATTAATGCTTTAAACATTTACTCTACCAGCTCCTGGAAACTGTAGCTGCCTGGCAGAGTAGGGGACGCATCCTCCAGCTAACATAAAAATCAGTTCTGAGCCCTGAACCCAATGGTGGGGTCCCATCCTATGCGCAGGCTTGGTAGTCTCTGGCTCTAGCCTGAATGAGATTGGTCCAGATACTCATCCGCTGGCTGCAGGGCCTCTGGGCAGGACCCAGTCCCTTCCTTGCCCCACCCCTGGTCACTGTGCTGAGTTTCCAAACCCCACTCAATTCTCCGGAGTTGAGTGAGTCAAACAGCCCCCATTTCCCCACTCTTGCTTTAGGCAAAATCAAGGCTCTACAAGTGTCCCAAAGACAAGACTTGGACTGGACAGATAAAGGTGGCCATTACCCACATCTTCCAAACACCCACCCCCCAAAACAAAAACAAAACCAAGCTTCTACAGTCCACTCCAGGGATTGTGGTGTGTCAGAGGGGGAGGGAGGGTTGGGAAAGGTCTTAATAACCGGATAGTACGGGGCAGGCCAAGTATCACATACCAATTGGCGCCACAGGGTGACAACTGAAGAAGCCACCAGCTTTTATAATTTGCATGACCCCAGAGGCCTCCATTTCTCACCTGCTAAGTGGGCAAAGAGAACACCCCACCCCAAACCGGTTAGCTGTCAGGAGTGGGTGAGCACGCTTGCCCTTCCAGGCACTTTCTTCTGGGAGCGGAGACCAGGCTATGTTTGAGGCCTACCAATAGCTGACAAACGAAATTTGGCTCCGAGCACCAGGTTTGCAGAGGAAAGGCCGAATTTTGAAAGAACAGTTTTTAAAAAGGAGAAACAGAAGCGACAAAGAAGTTGTCTCTACACGAACCCTTCTCCATCCCTGAGCCGTTGAGAAGTTAGTGGCTCGGGCACCGTGCTGTCCTCGGAAGCGGGCTCCGCAAACGCCCGTGCGCGGCAAGGGCCACGGGTTGCGGGCTGCAGCTCCTGCGCAGGCGGCGTCGCCTGAGCGCCTGGAGGCTACCAAGGCCCCTTCCCAATACAGGACCTGCAGACCGCGATGGGCAGGAGCCAGCCTGCAACCCCCTCCTGAGGTGCCCCGGGGCGGGGGTGCTGCGGTGCAAGCGCCCTCAGAGAAGGGAGGGCTCTTTAAAGTAGGAGCTTATCCGACATCGGACGCGGGACAGATTAGAGCGCGCTGTCCCGGAGCCTCGCGCTGGGCCAGGAGCAGAGAGCGCGGGGGCGGGACAGCTGCTTGAAGAAAGGGACTGCGCGTTCAAAGGCTCCTTGTGCAGGCCTTAGAGGGAGAGGCTCTGAGCCGCCAAGGTAGAGCCTTTCCCACGGTTAGTCTCGACCCGGGAAGGGAGTGCAACCTTGACCGCGCAGAGAGGGGAGACACGGTCTGAGCCTCTCTCCCCCGCCTGCGGCAGCGGAGGAGCCCGGGACCGCCCGGCCCGGCAAGGCCAGGCCCCGCGGGAGCTGAAGGGCGGAGTAGACAGCCGGCTCAGTCAGGAAGGTGGTCGTAAGGCTGAAAATGATGACTCTGCAGCTGCGGCAGCAATCGGGGAAATCTGTCCTGCAACGAAATTCTCTCTCCAGTGCGAATTGAGGGAAGATCCCTTGGCCCTCCGGCTGAACTGGTGTCCCCACGTGACCCTAAGGTGGTCAGGTGATGCCAAGGCTTCCACCGGCGCTTGGGTTCTGTGCGCCTTTGGGGCTGGGGGAATGGCCCCGATTGTCAAGCAGTCCTTGTTTTGCCTTCTCAAACCCCGCGCTTAGTCTGGGACTACCCAAGTCCTCACCTGTCCTCAAGTCTTCTGCCCTGACAAACCCTCCAACCTGCACACACATACACTGGGTACAGGACCCATCCAGCGGGGAAGAAGAAATCCATCTCAAGAGTGGAGCCAAAATCCCTGAAAAAGGAAGTAGAAATAGCCTAGAATGGTCTGGTTTGAGTCAAAGCTCTGCCACAGAGAGACCTCTTGCACACTTTATTTCTCAGAGCCTAGATTTCCTCATCCAAAAATACGGGGCTCTTCTAGTGTCAGGCTGTGAGCTTCTTACAAAGGCTGAGGCACACTGTCTTAGCACCCAATCCCCAGTGCCTGACACAGAGTAGGTGCTCAATAAATGCTTGCTGAAGTAGTATTTACAACATTAGGATACAAGCTATAGTATTTAAGAGATTGTAAAAAATAAACAAGGTATGGTGCTTTGGGGGGGTGGGAGGTTCAAGGGTGCCAGCAATCGTCCTTGCCTGTGGACCATGGCTAGGTTGCCCTGCTTGGGGACAGGGATCCAGAGTCTTGATTCTTCGCTGGGGTTTGGCCTCCAGCTGTTGAGAGCCATCCATTCCCACACTTTGGGGAAGGAACTGAGGCCCTTGCTTTCCCCAGCTCAAGCCTCCTACCAGGCCCTGCATTCCTGGGGCAGCTGCAGGAACCCCAGAAATCAAGAGAATAAATCCGAAATATCAGAGCTCACTCTGGCTGCCAACGCAAGGGCTGAGGTGGGTGCAGCTTCTCACAACCCATCCCAGCTCCCAGCTGCCAGGTGAGTCCCAACGACTGGGCAAGCGTGACGCCTTTATGTTTTCAATGTAAGAGAAAACCCAAGCCTACAGACAGGAACCAGCTTACTGGCTGCGGCCTGGCTGTGGGGTCACCTTTCTACTGGGTTAGTCCCCAGAAAGGGGAGGGGAGACTCCTTTACCTGCTAGTCCTGGTCGCCAGTTCCCAAGGTCTTTTTCTTTTTGGCAACCCAGGCCTGTTAGAGAGGAATTCAAATTTTTCCCTTAGTGTAGTGCCCACTGTCTAGGAAGCCCACAGTCTTATCCCTGAGGCTCAGTTGATGGGATTCTGCACACCAGACTATAGAAGCTTGGACACAAGGGCCCAAGCAAAGCCACAGAGCCCAGGTTCCAAAAACCCCACAGAACCTAGATAGACTCAAACAAATGATAATGGTAGTATTCTGCACAGGGCAGGGGCTTAGATCAAATGGCTTCTCAGGTGTCTCAGAATAGCACACATCCACACAGAGACTCACATCACACACCTGCATGCCAGTCTTGCTGTTTCTGGTCCAGGCAAGTTTAGATGGGCTACTGCCTTCTGTATTTAGAACCCCAAGCAGGGAGAAAGTCAGATTTGCTTCTGTGGCACAGAACTTCAGGCTGGACTCAAACATCAGGTTGCCCATCCCTGCTCTCCTCTTAAAGATAGGGAAATTGAGACCTGGAGATTTGCCAAAGGTATCACCAGCCTGCTAATTAGAGGTGGCATGATCACAAAATAAGAGCCTCTGCAATGGACATTGAGCTGTTCCAACACCCCTTGAGTCCGAAACACTAATTTCATCTCCTGAAGACCTATAATGAAAGGACCCCGTAGGTGGGCCTGACCTTCTTCCTTGGGACATGGATCCCAGATTCCTCCAACGAAGAGAGGAGGAGGGTTTCGGTTTGGTCAGGGCATCTCATGGGACAGGTGCTCCAGGCTGGGCTAAAGTAGGAACAGCCTGGAGATAGGCGTTTAGAACATGCATGCTAAGGCGGGAAGAACAGAGCACTTCTTCACCTTGGGAGCCACGACACCTCTTGCAAACAGTACACACTCTGCTTCTCCCAGCCCACGCATTCCAGAAACATCCCAGTCCTTAGGCTCAAGCGAATTTTTCCTCTAGGAAAAGCATCCGCCACTGCGTTTGTAAAGCATTTCCTAAAATATCAAATAACCTGAATTGGTTTATGTTCTCAACAGCGTAAACGTCTAATTAGAATAAATTTAGAAATCAAAATACAGAGGTTCAGGATGGTTGGTTCTGCGCTGGTCCCTGAGGAAGAGAAGTGACCGGGCACCACCGCATTGAGGAAACTACCGGCTGTGTCCCTCGATGTACAGTGACTGAAAACGGAAAATAAATCTGTCCTTATTTTATTACCTCCAAGTCCTGCAAAAATCTTTCCCCAGCTAAGCCCCGCGTTCAACGACGAGGAGGCGCCCGAGGAGGGCTGAAAGGAAAGCCAACGCTTTGTCTCATTTCCACTGCCTGTGGTAGGGCCGGGTGCTGTAGAGGTTGGAATCGGACAAACCGGGTTCTCTTCCAGCTCTGGAGCCCACGTGGCCGCCACCTAAGCTGGAACCCAGGAGAGATCCACTTCTACACTACCATACGCTGGAGCCATATGTGGACATGGACGTGGGTCCAGAAAAGCCACTACTTAGTCGCTAGCTCATTTGCTCATTCTAGTGTTCCCAAGTACTTACTGTACGTCTAATGTGTGCCAACACCGTATTAAGAGCTAGTGCGGCTAGCCACATTTTGACGCGGCGGAGGCGGCACAGCTTGCTCACGCTGCGCTGGTCTCACTCCGAATCCACAGTCTAAATGTCTAAAAAGTCCATTGCCTTGCGACAGTTTGGTGGTGCCTTGAGAGACAAAGCCTCTTACCGAGGCAGAGCCAGACACTGCACCGGATCCCGCTTCCCATTCCCACGGGGACTTGCAGACTTAGAATCTCCCGGTGTTAGAGGGGCCCCAGACGACCTCCCGGCTCAAGCGAACAGTCCGGTTCTGGCTCTGGAGGATGTCAGGGGCCCATGCCGAGGGCTCCCTTTTCCCGGCCTCCTCTCCCCCAGCTGCCACTTCCGCTACCTTCACAGCTCTGGGGGCGGCAGCCGGGTAAGAGCTGGGGTCAGGGAAAGGGTAGGACAGGGGAGCACGCGCATGGCCACAGCCCGGTCGCCACCGCCCCGCGTGTAGGGGGCGCTCCCCAGCCTGCTTACCCTGGTTGCGAATAGCGGGCTGGCTCTCGAGGCAGCTGGGCAGGTAGGGTGCGTTGGGGAACATCCTGGCCTGGCCTGAGGACGCCTGGCTAGGCGGAGGAGGACCGAAGGGTCCGTAGCGACAAGCTCCAGCCGTGCCAGTGAACTGGCCTGAGAAGTGGACGGTGAAGGCGCTCAAGCACTGCTCCTCGTGAGGCTCCGCGCCACCCCAACTCGGCTCTTGTTTGATGAAGGAGTGCGGCGGCGGCGGCGGCGGGGGTGGCGGCGGAGCCGGCGGCGGCGCAGGACCTCCCAAGGAACCGTAAGCTGAGGCGCCGGGGGGCGCAAAGTCCAGCACGGGCGCCCAC